ACAGGATTTTCATGGTATCCTCTAGCTAAACCAAAATCACAAATCTTCAATTGACAATCAGCATTCACTAATAAATTACCAGGTTTCAAATCTCTATGCAAGACATTGGCAGAGTGAATGTATTTTAAACCACAAAGAATTTGGTAAATGAACGATTGGTAGTGAGCATCAGTTAAAGGTTGTCCTGATTTTATAATTTGATGCATATCACATTCCATTAATTCCTCATATAAATATAATCCATTGAATTCCTTGTTCAAATCATTATCTTCAAAAACAATATCAACATCATAAAGACATGTAATGTTCTTGTGTCCTCTGAAATGTCTTAATAACTTCAATTCTCTTAAAGATCTCTTACATAAAAGAGTCTTTTGAAAAATGTTTGTAACTTTTTTAATCGCAATAGTGGTATCTTCAGTAGATTCCATAAATTTGGCTGAACATACTACACCATAAGCACCATGACCAATTTCTTTAATCAATTGAAATCTATTATCAACAGTGAAATCTTGGTTGTAAACTTGAAAAGTTTGACGATCAATTTGTTCTAAAGACATTTGTAAATAGAATGAATATATGTGAATATTGTATAAGAAAAAGAATAAAAAAAATAAATAAATGTATATGTTTTTTATTTTCTTGGTTTTTATTAATTATATTAATGAAAATAGATTTTACTACTTTAACAAATGATAAAATCTTTTATTTTTTAAACAATATGTTTATTTGTTTTATTTATAGTTTTTTTTTTTTAAAAAAAAAAAAAATATAGAAATAGATTCTCACCAAATCAAAATAGTCCCAAAAAAAAAAAAATTTTTTTTTTTTTTATATACCTAACACAACAATATTATTTATTTAGCAAATATATATTAAAGTTCTATTTTAATAACAAAACTTTTTGTTAGTTGAAAAAAAAAAAAAAACATATATAACACATTATGAAATCACAAATGATAATTTATTTTGATTTTTTATTAATTGAAGAACATTTAATCTTTTTTTTCTTTTAAAAAAGAGGATATATTTAATGAATATTATCTTACCTTAATCTGATTTCCCGAATGATTCTATTTTTAGAACAAAATAAATATTATGATACATATCATTTTTTATACTTGAGATAATGAACGGTAGAAATCTTTAACTTTTCCATCACAAGATATCTTGGAAACATCAAAGTTTCTAACTTCTAAAGTATCTAGACTTACTGCTCTTGATAAAGCAACGTACACATGACCTGCTTCAAAAACATTTCTCAAATCTACTCTTAATCTTTGTATAGTTTGCCCCTGGGATTTATGTATGGATAAAGCATAACATAATATCAATGGCAATTGTTCTCTTGTGGAAGCTGATTTACTATTTCCGGAAATATCAGTACTGAAAACATGTTTTTCTACAATTTCTTCTGAAGTTGTTCCATCTGGAAGTTGGAATCTTACTACTGGCAGACACGTCGATTTCATATACTTCATTGCTCTTGTAATATTATTCTCCATTCTACCTTTCAATTCTAAATCTAATGATTTTGCAACATACTCCATGACTTCTGATGGCAATTCATCAGGATTTTTGATTCCAACACAAAGAGATATCAATTTGAATTCATGTAATCTTTGTCCCTCAGTTATATTCTTATAAAATCCCATTAAATAAACATAAAAATCTATCGGCATAAAAAATAAAACATTACCAACAGACCCATTAACAATTTGATCTGAATGATTTTTGATCATCATAACTTGACAATTTTCTTTCAGTTGTAATACTTTTTCTGCCAGAAAACTTGAATCTAATTTTTTAATTTCAGCATCTTTATCTTTTATAAAACTTGGTATTGTATCTATAGCTCTAAAAGTTACAAAATCTCCTGGTAAGGATTCCATTCTTTTTCTATTAGCATTAGAAACTTCTGCTCTTGTTGGGTATAATTCAGTAGCTTGAATCCCATCTGGGTAATCAATAATTCTATCTAAAGAAGCGATTAAGTTTCTAGATTCAAAAGAGACTCTACTACCATAACGAATCTCATTCAACATATTAATCAAAGAATTATCCTTTTGTCTAAACACTTTATTCAAAAGGATTGTCTTTTGAATAGCTCTTTTCCAAGCAGATGATTCGAAACAAAATTTCTTTGCCATTCCATTCTTTGTGACAGGTGGCAATTGGAAAAAATCACCTGTGAATACTACTTGAATACCACCAAAAGGATTGTTATTGTTTCTGACTCTTCTTGCAATAGCTTCTAATTTATCTAAATAATCTCCTTCAATCATTGATACTTCATCAATGATAATTACTTTGGCTGCTCTCCATCTTTTCATGGAGATAGGATTTTTATTCACCATAGAGTACAATTGTTCAATTGATCTATTACCAATACCAAATCCTGAAAATTTATGAATAGTGGTACCACCAATATTACATGAAGCCAAACCTGTTGATGCACAAATGGCTACACCATCCTTCCCAAATTTGGCTCTTAACTTATGGATCAATGTTTTCAAAACAACAGATTTACCAGTACCAGCAGAACCAGTATAAAAAACATTTAAATTATCTTTAACAACAAGATTAACAACTTTTTCTTGTTCATCTGTCAATTTGATACCATCTGGTGATAACTGATTCATTAATGGTTGCTTATTAGATAAAGATTCCTCTTCAAACAAGGATGGTTTATTTGTTAGTCTTTTACCTCTATTAAAGTTACTCATGATTTTATGACTATTATTGGCAAAAGAACTGGATTGGGATGAAAAAGAGTTTAAATTACTTGCTGTTCTTCCAAGTTTCATCAAGTCACTTAATGATGAACCTGACGATTGTTTGCCTAATGGGGAAATTTGTTGGCTTGGAGACAAAGTAGCTCTTGTTAAAAGAGTAGTTTGACTTGATGTTAATTTTTGTTTTTTTCTTTTAATTTGCTTGAAAAACTCTATATCACTGTTTGCACTAGAAACTTGAGAAGATCTATTTGTTTTTTTATCAATTCCATCAAAATCATCATTCAATAAGATTGTTTCTCTGCTCATCATTCTTTTTAACTCAGGCTTTGCATTGTTTAGCACAGTAGTCTCAACACTTTTTATGATCTCATTATCAACATTATCATTAATACTTGATAATAGATTCATCCTACCTTCTTTTTGAGTAGGTTGAGAGGATTGAGACATTTCAATTAATTTTTCCGGTGATTTTCCTTTACTTAAAGGAGAATTTTTAGTTGGTTTAAAACTTGGTAATCCATTTTTATAAATAATCTGTTCTTCTATTTCATTTTCTTTATCATCAACAGAATCTAAGTCTATAATTTCATTTTTAAATATGGATGATGATAATGATTTTTGCTGAGCTGATTTTTTAGATTGGAAGAAATTGGTTATACTAGATTGACTAGTTTTTTTGTTTTTATTATTTGTTCTTATCATTTTACAAGAAGAAGAAAACAAACAAAAAGAAAGAAGAAAGAATATGGGATATTATATTATTAGTTTATTATCATTAACAAGATCTATGGGTTTATACATTAAAGAAGAAAAAACACAAATCATATCTTTCTAATGTTCTTATTTTTTAATTTATTTGTAAATAAACGCCACTTAAAAAAAAATTTTTTTTTGATTTCTATACACTTTTTCTTATTTTTTTTTCTTCATCATCAAATGATAAAAGTTTTCTTTTTTTGTTTGTTTGAAGAATATTTTATACATACGCGTAGTAACGCGTTAAACTGATTTATTATTATTATTTTTTTCTCTATTCTCACAATGATATCGGATTTAACAATCTTTTTTAAATTGAAATTTCTTTTTTTGGATTTTTTTTCAAATTTCGAAAAAACAAAATATATTACACACACAATTAATCATTTAAAAGTTTAATTCTTACATTTAAAAAAAAAAAAAAAAAAAAAACAAGACACTAAACCACAACTTCACATAAAAAGTAATTTAATACAAAGGAATCATGTCTTTCAGAATTTTATCTAAAAATGTTTTGAGATCTGCTGTTAGAGCTCAACCATCAGCTACTTTTGTTGCTGCCAGATTTGTTGCTAAACCATTAGCTGCTCAAACTTTAAGAACCTTTTCTGCTTCATCTATGAAATTAAACAAAGATAATGAAACTGCCAAATTAGTTGAAATTTTGAAAGAAGAAATTCAAGTTGAATTAGAAGAACCTCAAGTTACTACTATTCCAGAAAAGTTAGCTTCTTATGATGGTTTCACTATTGTCAAGAATGAAATTAACTCTGTTAACTTACATTTAGTTAAAGAACAAGGTGATGAAGAAATCCATGTTTTCATTGATGTTGATGAATTAATCAACGGTCCAGACGTATTTGATCAAGGTTTAGAAGCTGAAGAACCAGTCGCTGAAGAAGAAGAAGAATTTGAACCAATGGAAGACTTATCCCCAGCCAAGGTTCAATTCGCTATCATTGATAAAACTAAGAACACTGCTTTAAGTTTCGGTATTAACCCAGATTTCACTAGTGGTGATTTCACTGTTCAAAGTATTTTACCTTTCTCTGATCCATCTTTATTATTATCTGAAAAGGCTGAAGATTTTTTGAAGAAGGATTTGACTTATGCTGGTCCTCAATTCTCTAATTTAGATGAAAACTTACAACATGCTTTATTACAATACTTGCATTCTAGAGGTTTGAATGTTGAATTCATTGAATACATTCAAGATTTAGCTACTCATTTGGAAAACCAAAAGTACATTAACTGGCTAGATTCCATGCAAAAGTTTTTCAAGTAAATAGCCAAAAAAAAAAAAAAAAAAAAGCTTCCTGTACATGATTAAAAAATAAATAATAATAAAAAAAACAAACACAATATAAAAAAATTTATATAAGTATAACACCTGTAAATAGTATACTAATTTAAAAAAAAAAAACAAACAAAAAAACATCATTTAATTAATATTGATACTTTAAGATAAATCTCAATTTGCTAAAAAAAAAATTGCAAAAAAACATTCTCCGCGACGGGGAATCGAACCCCGATCAGGCATGCGACAAACGCCTATTCTAACCGTTAAACTATCACGGATAATTAAATGTTAATCTGCTTAATTTTTGTGCTAAAAACTCAGATGAAGTCAACAGTATTTTTTTTAGACTGAAAATTTATTGCTTTTTTTTGATGCAATCATAGTTTTTATATGCTCTAAAACATCAACTCTATATACAAAAACCAATATCAATTATAATAATATTAACAAAAAGATATTTATTTTTTTTAAAAAAAATATTACATAGTAATATATAAATTCCCATATATTTCACAAATCTAAGCCTTTTGAGCATTCTTCTTTTGCTTCTTAATTGGCTTTTCTTCTTTTTGCTCTTTTTCTTCTTCTTCCTTATCAGCTTCAGATTTGGTTCTCTTTTGATTAGCAGACTTTAATTGTTTGCTGAAAATAGTTTCCATTTCTTCAGGGTTAGCAATTTCATATAAGGCTCTGTTGAAAGCATTCAATTCAACTTCAACACCATTAATTTCAACTGTATTTTTAATAACTTTCTTAGTTTCATCCTTAGAACTACCTTCTTCCTTCAATTGTATTAACTCTTGTAAAGATTTTTCGTTATAGAATAATGGAACAACAGGAGAGAAGTTGGTTTTCAAAAAGATGGATCTTATCATATACTTGTCTACAAATTGCTTAGCTATAACTTGAATGTTTTTCAACAAATCTTTTTTACTAGACTCACTAGAGTAGTTTAATAAGTTACCCAAGTTGATGTTTAATGTGGAACCGTTTGGATATTTGGAGACAGTCTTGTTATTCCAGAAGTTTCTGACAGAAGTTGAAAGAGTCTTGACACTGTTTCTGACTCTGATTGGAACAGGAGTAGTAGATATTTGGTTGAAAGCTTTACCACCTAACAGCTTTGGCATCAAAGTGACAACAGAATCATCACATAAAATATAAGAGTGTTCACTAAATAGTTTTCTTCTGTTTTCAAATGGCTTATAAAGGGTCTTTAATTGCTTGGCTGTAATGATTTCACCAATTGGAATCTTTTCGTCATTGATTAATTTATGTATTTCAGATTCGGAATCTTCCTTGTCAACATTGAACTTAGTAGAGTCATTTAAAATTAGTAAGATTTTCTTGAAATCATTAATGTATGAGTGAACACCAGTTTCAGTGGCAATTGTTAATGGTTTGAAAACAGCTTTTTTGGTTTTAGCAATATCAGTATCTTCATTAAATGGCAAGTTATTTACGAAAATCAATTGTAACTTATCTTTTAATTCATCTTCGTCATCATCAAGTAATTTAAATTTACCAGTCTTTTCATTAACTGTTTCTTTAGTATCTTCCTTTTGTAAATATTTTTCTAAACCACTAATAGCACTTTGAATTCTTTTTTCTGGAATATCAGTTACAGGAGAAACAGTTTTTTGTTCTGCAGCTTTTTTAGAAGCAACTTTTTTGTTATTTTTAGCAGAACTTTTAGGAGCCATTGTTTTTTTTTATAGTTATGTTGAAGCTATTTGGGGTTTTGTTATTCTTTTATTTGTTTATAATTAATATTATAAAATTATTATTTACTAGTTTAAAAAAGAAACAGATTTTTTTTTTTTTGCTAGTTTATTTCTTTGATGAAAAAAAAATATTAAAATCTGAAATATTACAAAAAAAAATATATATATGATGCTATGTCCAAAAAAGGAAATTGCTATTTTAAAAAAATATATATAGATTTGTTTTTTTTTTTCAACTTGAAAATGTGAAAATTGTTAACAAAAAAAAAAGCAACTATAACACGTGATATACTGTCAAAAAAATAACACACAAATTGCTTCAGGAATTATATCCTAAAAAATTTGGGTGGCAAAAAAAAAAAAAATTAAATCATAAAAAATTTCAAACACGAAAACACAGTCATATATATATAATATTTACATAATTTATAGATTTTATAATCATATTTTAATAGCTATTCTTTTTTTTTAAATTAACAAAACCATACAGGATCTATTTTACATAAACATTTTTTTAAAAACCAACTTTTTAATATTCTTTTTTTTTAAAAAAAATGACTAAAGAAGAAAAAGATGTTGTAATGGGTAACACTAGTGACTCTGAAACTGATAAGAAACAAAATGACCTTAAAACCAACACTGCTGAGATCTTATCAGATGAAGATTTGAAATTAAAAAATGAATTAGAACAATTAGCTAAAAACTTACTTAGTGATGATAGCTCAACATATATTTCTTCATTAGATAAGTTAAACACATTGATTAAAGAAGCTACCACATCCATGACTGCTGTTCCAAAACCTTTAAAATTTTTAAGACCTTTTGTTGAAAAATTGACTTTGAAATATGAAACTTTGGAAGATGGAATTGAATCTAAATCTAGATTAGCAGATATTTTATCTGTTTTATTTACAACTTTTGAAGATGATGGTTCTCACGAAGTTTTGAAATATAGATGTCTTTCAGAAGAATCTAAATTTGATCAATGGGGTCATGAATATATTAGACATTTGAGTTTACAAATGGGTGAAGCTTACAATAAGTTATACTCTGAAGAGGAAGGAGAAGGACAAGAAGAAGTTGAAGAGGAAGAAGAAGACGAAGAACAAAGTGGTGATAGTGAAACCAAAGAAGAAGATCAATTAGACAGTGATAGTGATAAACCAGAAGAAAAGAAAATAGTATTATCATCTGCTATCACTCAAGAAAAGATTTTACATTTAGCTGATATTGTAATCCCTTACTTTATTGAACATAATGGTGAAACTGAAGCTGTGGATTTATTATCTGAAATAGATAACATTGAACTAATGAGTGAATACGCAGATTCAACTAACTATAGCAGAGTTTGTAAATATATGGTTGCCTGTGCGCCATTATTACCACAATTAGAATGTAAAGAATTTTTATCTGCTGCCTATAAAATCTTTTTCAAAAATGAAAAATACTCAGAAGCTCTAAACATCGCTATTAGATTAGATGATACTGAAAAGATTGCATCATTATTCGAAACTGCATCTGATTCTAAATCTTTGAAGACTCAATTGGCTTATATTCTATCTGAACAAAGATTACCAGCCCCAAACACTTCAGATGAAGAAATAACAGCAATTGCTGGTAATGCAAACCTTTCAAAAAATTACAAACACTTAGTTAAAAATTTGAATTTATTACCACCTAAAGTTCCAGAAGATGTTTATAAATCTCACCTAGAAAATACTTCATTTTTCAAGGCCAAAGCCGATGCTTCCCAACAAAATTTGGCATCTGCCTTTGTTAACGGATACTTGAATTTAGGTTATGGTGAAGATAATTTAATTTTAAAAGATGACTCTTGGGTGTTTAAAACAAAGGGAGATGGTATGACAAGTACTGTTGCCAGTATTGGTGCTATTAAACAATGGGACGTTGAAGGTTTACAAGATCTAGATAAATACTTGTATGTTGATGAAGTTAAAATTAAAGCTGGTGCTTTAATTGGTGTTGGTTTAGCAACATCTGGTGTTCATAATGGTGAAGTTGAAACTGCTTTAGTCTTTTTAGAAGAATATTTGTCAAGTTCTGATGAAAGTTTGAAAAGAGCAGCTATAATTGGTTTAACTATTGCCTTTTCTGGATCTAAAAATGAAGAATTAATGGGCTTATTATTACCTTTGGTCACTGAAATGGAAGAAAATAGCATTGAAACTGCTTCTTTGGCTGCTTTAGCTTTAGGTCACATTTTTGTTGGAACTGGTAACCCAGATATTGCTGAAATGATTGTTTTGAATCTTTTAGAAAGACCAACCGAAGAAATGAGTTCCTCTTGGGCCAAATTTATGTGTCTAGGTCTTGGTTTATTATTCTTGGGTATGAGTGACAATGTTGATGATGCTATTGAAGTTATAAGTGCTATGGATCATCCAATGGCTACATCTATTGAAACTTTAATAATGGTTTGTGCCTTTGCAGGTAGTGGTGATGTTCTATTTATCCAAGATTTATTAAGCAGAATTACAGAAGATTCTAGTGATACTGTTGTTGATGAAGATGAAGGTGAAGAAGTTGCAAGTGAAGACACTGCTTCTAAAGACTCAAAGTCAGAAGATAAGCAAGACGATGATAAAATGGATGTTGAAGAATCAAAAGAAGATATTAAAGATGAATCTAAGAAAGAAGAAGATCAAAGTTTATTAAAGAAATCTAATGATTTACATCAATCCTTCTATGCTGTTTTAGGTATTGCAACCACTGTTATGGGTGAAGATATTGGTAAAGAGATGTCTTTGAGACACTTTAGTCATTTAATGCATTACGGTAATGATTATATTAAAAGGGCTGTTCCATTAGCTCTATCTCTATTATCCGTTTCTAACCCAGAAATTAATATTTACGAGACTCTTTCCAGATATTCTCATGATGAAGATTTGGATGTTAGTAGCAATGCCATTTATGCTATGGGTATTTTAGGTGCTGGTACAAATAACTCTAGATTAGCTCAATTGTTAAGAAATTTAGCAAGCTACTATTCTAACTCAAATAGTTTATTATTCATGACAAGAATGTCTCAAGGTTTAGTTCATTTAGGTAAAGGCACATTAACTTTAGACTGTTACAATGACTCTGGTGTTTTGCATAAGACTAGTCTAGCCTCACTACTAACAGTAATGGTTGGTTTAACAGAACCAACTTTCATGACTACTCATCACTACTTGTTCTATATGTTAAATTTGGGTATGAGACCTAAATATATTGTCACTTTGGATGAAAATGGTGAACCATTACAAGTTAATGTCAGAGTTGGTCAAGCAGTTGATACAGTTGGTCAAGCAGGTAAACCAAAAGATATAACTGGATGGACTACCCATTCTACTCCAGTGTTGATAAATCATAATGAAAGAGCTGAACTTGAAACTAATGAATACATAAGTCTATCAGAAAAAATTGAAGGTGTTGTAATCTTAAAAAAGAATCCTGATTACAAAGATGAATAAATTATGAAGTTATATATCAATAATTTTTGACTTAATTAAAGAAGTAACCATGTTTTTTTTTTTTTTTTTGATACATATATG